AGTTTTGTATAATTATTAATAAATTATAGACATAGATATATTAATTAAATAAGTAGTAAGTGATTACAGTGCACCATAATTATGCATACATTGTAGCCATTTAATAATAAATCAATTTAATCCTGCATTCACGTTTTTTACCTAACTTCGCACATAAGTTTTGTTTTAACACTGTAACTCCGCACGTAAGATTTTATTTTTATTCTTTAAATACAATTTATTCTATTAAAGTTCATTAAAACTAAGAACAGCTTAATCTATACGATGTATCACTAACATTTATATCAATTATTTTAAATCTTGGTAGTTATAACTAAAACTAATTATCGAATAAATAATAATACTTAATCAATATATATATTATATAAGAAACATCATCGCTGTTGTTTAAAATTAAATGTAATAAAATTATAATGGAAGATTAAAATTAAAATTATTTAAATGAAGCTAAACTCTTTACAAAATGTATTTTGTATCAATTTCATCGTTTATATTAATCTTATTTTTATTTACATACTACTATTATTAGTTTTGCTGAGGTCCTATTTTCATTATTACTGTGGAATTCATTTCTCATAAGAACTCGTCTTACTTTTACCTAATATATTTTAATGAAAAATGCAACATTGTGATGAACTCGAAATAAATAAATCACCAAATTTGGCGTGAAAAGGCTCACAGTTGTTTGTTGTTCCTCCAATATTGGCTATTGATTTTTGTCTAAATACTTAAGAGATGGAAATGTTGTGGTTGTTTTACTATGTTTTAGTCTAAATAAATGATAATTTTTAATTCATGGCAATACGCAACTGAACGAAGTACATCAAAAAATACAAAATAACGCATACATATCCATAAAATTAAAATAATAGAATATAAAACATTATTTTGGTAATTTTTGATTATCCGTGACTAGAGTGCAGATTTCTATGCAATCACATATTTTTTCTTTTTGAATTTTTTGGATTTTTATCAGTTATCTTCACGAATTATAATAATTTTATACTAAAAGTGAATTTTTTTTTTTGCATATTTTTACAAAATTCAAAATGTATTGTACATTAAAACGAACATTTTTCATACAGCATTTAAATAATTTATTATTATAAGTCATTTAATTTATGAATTTTACAGAACTAAAAAAATTTTTTTGCATATTTATCGCGTATTTTCATAATTTTTACTATTTATTATGTGGCATATTTTGATACTTTTAAGGCATATAAATCCGCGCTCTACTCATGACATAACTTATTGTATACAATCTTATAAGCGAGATAGAATTACGTTTAGAATGTAGCTAACATAGAAATATGATTCATAATAATTATAAAAAACCTCTATGGTTAATAACTAAAATAATAAATTATTCAAAATTGAAATTGAAATTTTATTAATGTCACTCAATCATCTATTTTTATTTAAATCGTGAATTCAACATAGCTGATACAATGTTATAGCATGTGATTATTACCTGGAATTAAGAATTGATTATTTTTAATTTACTCAAATTTGTGTTATTGTAGGTATATGTGATAATATATTATAGTATATATGTGTAATTACGCTATTAAATAATTGTAGGTTGATAATTTTTTTCGGTGTTATTTTGATCATCAATTCATTAGCATTATACAACTGTATTGATAATAACAATAATTTTTGCGATCTTAAATTCATCGCAGTCCAATTACAATTATACATGCCAAAATGAACAGATTCCATCTACAAAAAGATATTGCATTAATAAACCCACTAAAGTAGATTTTAACAAAAACAATGTTACTTTATTATTAATGCTTTCCATTAAATGGCAAAGGAAATATAACACAATAAACATGTATCCAAATGCTGATATCAACTTGATGACACTAAGAATTGGTATAGATTCTGATGACGTAAAAATCTATATATAAACGTAAATACATAATGATATGTTATCAACTATATATTATTTAATTTCTAGATATACATAGGGTTGGATCTAGGTACCCAATGTGGGGGGAAGGAAACACTTTCGGTAAGAAATTATATTTTTTATGTTTGATAAATATGAGAATAAATAATAATAGTAGTACTCTCTATTAAATAATCATAGATCCAACCCTTATTATAGATTTTCATTTGATCTATTGAATTTATATTACCACAACTGATACATATGTTAAAATTATGATAGACCCTGAATTTATTATAACATTTGATACAATAATAAACTTATATGTGGAATAAAATAGTCTTAACTTCCTGAAAAATAAAATAAATATTTAAATTAATTTCAATCGTATTTTAACAGCAGAAAAAACCATCTTAAAATAACTGTCTTATGACTTATTAGTTATTCTAAAACATTTAAGCTATGAGTACTAACTCGAAATGTTTTTGTTGATCTTTTATAATTGATACTAAATCGTCCAAACAATCGTTCACATTATAATCATTTTCGTTTTCTGTAAATATAAAATTTAAATTTATTTATATTAGTTAAAAGATTTAATATTTATTCATTGTATGAAAAAGTTATCCAGTCAAACAGGTCACACGGATTCACACTGAAAAATAAAAAAAAATTTTATATCTAAAAATGTGGTAAGTCAATACTTACCATCATTATTTTCGGAATTCGGTTTTCTGTTTACAGTTTCGTAAGCTCTTTTGATCATCTCATATTGAGCAATCATAACATAGCAGACAGAAATAAAGAAGAGATCAATCACTACGGTTACGTATAACAGGAATATTGCAATAGATGACTCCATTATATAAAATATAACATAATTATTATTATAAAAATGTGAAGTCACCGGGAACCGTAAGTTGAAAATATTCTCAAATCGTCGATTTAATTGGTTTAAGTCTTCTTTTTGTAACAATTGTAGCATTAGAGGAAACAAAATCCATTCCAAAGTAGTTAAAATTCCAAAACTACTTATGAGATTCGTTATTTTTATTGATTTGTTGCGATATTTATAAAGAATTCCAATATGTGTTTGGCAATGTGTACTCGTCAAAAAATCCATGCGAGTAACATGGAGTAAATCACAAAAGTTATGTGCTTTGTACAAGAATGTAATTATTTTAAGTAAAGCCAAATAATATAGTAAATAACAGAAAACTAACTGTAGATGAAAAGTAATGTCGAATACATCTTCCGTCTCAGTAAAATAACCCAACAACCCGTAAACTAATATACAGCCAATCACACAATTTATAATGAACCAAGCAAGATAGTAAACATTGAAATTGAAAATTTTTTGACTTTTTGGATCAAATAGATGAAAAAAACGAAATAGTTTAAATAATTTCAAGTTGATGGAAACTTCATTGGGTTCCAATATGGCTAAATCAAATGCCATATTCTTACAGATTTGATCTAAGCATAAAAATTAAATATTTTGTAATTAATAGTTACTATTAATTTCTATATAATTTATAAAATAAATTGGATGAAGTACTTAGAAATAAAAAAGTTTGTGTTAGAAATTTATATGACGTATAATGGCATACTATACTCACTTTGTTTTCTTGGATCCGTTACTGTAGTGATTACCTATTTGCAAATAAACCGATTTACTATACGTCCAAATAATATATTGTATAAATAAGTTATAATATGGTTAATGTTATTTACTTTGTACATTTGATAAAAATAATGTAAACGAACCTTAATTACCAATTGGTTTCTTAAAGTATCATATTATATTAAATTTCCGTAAACTTTATTCCAATGACATTTTCAACATATATTTTTGACAATAGAACTTGATTTGATTAGAAACATACAATGATAGCCGATAATTATTATCTGGAATGGCTGATTGTACTATGTTGATTGTTCAGTATGCATAACGATACTAAAAGATAGGTATGTTTTAAAGTATCTAACACTAACTATCAGTTGGTCGATTTTGGAATCTAATATATAATTATCGTTACAAATTCTATGACACAAATTCTACTTATTGTATTAATATTTTATATATTAATCAATAAAACATTATCGAAAAGTAATAAGAATTAAAATATGTATAGCTTGTGCGTGTTTGTCGTGAAAACAATGATGTGAAAATTGAACAGTTGTCAACAATTTGAACCGGTATTGTTATTTAATACAAAAAAAAAAAAAAATGTTATTCTAATATTTGAAATAGAAATTTAATATGACTTTTGTGATAATAATATTATTCGTTTTTTGATTATCAATAATGTATAAACACGATATTATAATTTATGGATTAAGACATTACACATGAGGCCATAAGAATTTGCCTATATAAACGCCTTTTATTCAATTAAGTAGTTTGACTAAATTAACTAATAATTAATTAATAATAACCTATGAATATTGGCTGTATTTGGCTTACAGAATAATTGACGTACGTTATTCCAGCCCTACCCAAAGAAAATTGAATTTTTCTCGCCAAACAATTTGAGCAGGAATTATAAAAACGATTTCAGGAATGAGCAAGAATTAAATACTAATTATACGCCAAAAAAAATGTAATATATGAAATTGGGAGGCTGGAGTAACGTACGTGAATAATTAATTGGTAGCGTATTGTGGCACGGTGGTTGACCTTAGCGGTTAACGTGTTCTGATGTCAAGCATCGTTCGGTGTCGTCAGCTATCGGATGGGTGATCATCAGAGTTTTTATCGTTACAATATCTACGAAAAATATGTTATATTGTATAAATATTTCATATATTAATCAATAAAACATCATCGACAAATAATAAGAATTGAAATATGCATAGCTTGTATGTGTTTATTGTGAAAACAACGGTGAGAAAATTGAACATTTGTCAACACCTTAATCCTATGTTGTTATTGAAAAAAGAAATATATATATATATAATCCTAATATAATATTTAAAACAGAAATTTAATATGACTTTTACTATAGTATTATTCGTTCTTTGAACATCAATAAACCATGAATAAAATATAATAAATGATATTATACTTTATTCCGTTATAATTACATACCTATAGTAGATTACACTGTAAGGGTCTATTTTAAAGTACTTTAATAAACCTAAAATTAAAATAACATTGGGACACTACATAAAATTTTTATTTTTATTCATACTAAACTACATAATAAACATCTATTTGTACCTATTAACGTTATGTGTACAAAATATTGTTGTAAAAAATAATTTTTCAAATGAATACTTTTTATAAAAAAATTCTTATGACATTAAATTTTTTAAGATCAAAATTGTTTGGTCGTGAAACACAACTTTTGAACAGTTGACTCGATACCATATAATACTATTGTATTTAAAATAATTTTTTTCTTGCAAGACAAAACACCTTTATCAAATTATACACATTTCTATTTGAAAAATAACAAATTACAATGTAAATTGTAATCGTGACAAAACTTGGTTCGTAGTACGCTCAGTAGATTTTATAAAAAAAACAACATGACGATTGAACATGGTTCCAAAACTATAACTAATGACAAAAACATACACATCTTGGTTATAATATATTTGTATATTAATAGGAGTACATGACGTGATCAGGGGCGTAGTTATGATTTTTTTTCTGGAGAGAGGGGAATATATAATTTATTGGATAAACATTAAGGTTCTAACACCACGCCACGTCATGCCTAGGGTGGACAAATTTTGAAATTACCAAACTGGGACATCTATAGAATAAACTTTTCTCGTCTTTTGCTTATATGATGTGGAAATAAACAAGTATATCCTTTTTTAAGGCTCTGCAGGGCGGACGGACTATCCTCATAACTACGTCACTGCATGTGACGCGTACATAGATAGAGGGCGACTTGAAAATCGTATATGTCGTTAAACACATTCGACACTTGTTCGATTCGCGGGATCGATGAAGACAATAATTACCTATAAGTGTATAACACAAAAATTTCTCGCAAATTTGCGCAGTACGTAATCGAATTAACTCTTTTCGACATGTATAAACAATACAATATAATAATAATTTTTATTACACTTAATTTTTCATGAAAAAAAGTAATATAAATAAGATAAAATATAGTATACATGAAAAAAAAAAAATAAGAATCCAACAATATTGTAATTATGCACTCATGCAGCCAAGTATCGACGTATGTTTTGTGTTAAGGTTGTCGCGGATCCTCGACATGAGTATCTCGGACCCTTAGAGGGCTGCGGACCACAGGTTAAGAATCACTGTTTTAGATCATGGGAATATCATACCGTACATTATTATGACTATAGTATTTAGACATCTCGGGAGTAAAAATGTATGATACAAAGTGTCTAGAAGAGAAGACTAAAATATACTTTTAGTATTTGTTGCAGTTCATGTCAAATATAAAACGTACTTATATTAAGCGTTTTTTTGTGGAGTTGTCGAAAATAAACGATTTATTTAATATCGATTTGGCGATGTTTTAATGTCAAAACTATTTAATGTATTATTAAATACTATTTAACCATAGAATGTATGTTCCTATATAGTCCTATTACCAACCGACTTTTTCAACGGTTTATAACGTACACGTGATGAAAAAACGTCATGTAGAGTCGGAACAATCGGAAAACCGTTTACTTATGTTACTTCTGCAGAAATACACTTTTTGTTTTCTACAATACAGCGTAGGTAATAAAAATATGTCAATAATTGATATATTTTATCCCACCTACGCGCCATCCAGTTTATTATTTTATGCAGTATACAAATATTAATAGGTCATTACCATATATAAAGAAATCGTAAAAGACGAAATGATTTATGAAATTTTTATCTAGACAGTGGGTTATACTTAAACGAGAAAAATCACTGTAATCAAAAACCAATAAATCATAAGCACAGTTTATGACTTTTAGTCACTTATGATTGATCATATTTTTTTTTTATTAAAATTAAATTCAAAATCAGTACAATTTTTTTTTTCATACTGATATACATTCTGACCAGTAGCGACGTATATTGTTATATTACCATTAATGAATATTATGAATAAAAAAACTACGACGTATAAATTTAAATAAAAAAATTTGTGTTTTGTTTTCTGTAATATATTTATGAAAATAAAAAATTATTTTGTTTTAGATTAGGCTATGAGCGGAATAAGATTATATTGATTTCCTAAAAATAACTAAAAAAAGATAGAAAAGTATGTATCACTCATAACTCAGCTGTACATCAAGTACCGAGTAGCTCACTGAAATATGGATGTGTTAAATTTAAATTCAATGATAAATGGTAAAAACAATTCTAAGCGGAGACAATTTTTATGACAATAACACTTAGTATATTTAATTATATATTTTTTTTATCTAACTATTGAAGTTATTATTACAATAGGATGATAAAATTTTTCTGAAAATATTGAATTTATTAAGTTATTAGTATTTCATTATTTTAATGATTTATATTGATACCATATTATATCAACAAGATAAAAATAAATAACATCATTCTGTAAATACTATAAAACAATAAAAATAGACTTAAGTAATTAGTTACAGTGGACACCTTTTTCATTACTTTTAGCTTTCTTTAAAAAATTTTAATTGAATTGTTACATTAACATTTTTTTATATTGTTTTTATTACGTACTATGATTTGCTAATCTGATAATTACTTAGATTTAAATTAACTTAATAAAAAGAAATTTGTATAAAATACATTTAAATTAAATGTTACTTCTATCTGGTTATCGTGGGTTGTTTCTAAAAAACTAGATTTTATAGCCTTTAAAAAAAGTTCTAATATTATTATCGTGTAAATAATTTTTTTCACGGATTGATTTTCATATTTCTAGAAATAAGTATTAATCTGGCTAAAGTCACTTAATTACATATTACACATGATTATTTTCATATGGTAACCACCACGAGTTGTTAAATAAACATTTAGTTAGTCAAAGATGTTTAAGAGGAGTAAGGATCGTTACGAGAACGCTGAAATTGATATACAAATGGAACCACCGTTGCTTACTAAATCCAAGTAATCATCTAGTATTAACATTATTTTGTATTGTAATAAAGAGTAATAGAGTAGAAAAATATTTTAAATTTTCACCACATAACATATATTCATGCTTGCAATCAGTGGCGTAGCCAGAATTATTGAATGAGGGGGAGGGACTATACAAAATATGCATTTTAATTAGAACTATTTTGATTATATTGTAAAAGTATTTGAACTTCATTACATTAACTATAATCTACTTGCTTTGATTGATAATTTACTAAATAATTAAAAATATTAAAATAATTAAATTAGGATGGATGAGGGAAGTTACAACACCCAAAACCCCCATGGCTACGCCACAGTTTGCAATCCTATGATTACGTGTATTTTACTGGAATAACCATGCCATAACACTCTAAAAGATCAGGTTTCTTAAAATAACTGCTTGTAATATTCCATTTTATAGATGCAGTCACAAACAATTGAAATCCTCGTCATTTTTTGGCATATTTAAGAATGCTTTAAAGTGTCAAGTGTGTAAACGTTTTCGTTTAAAAAGCGCTAGGAAATGTTTGGGTATACACCAATTGAAAATTAATTATATTAGAGGATTAAATAATAATAACTTGGTTTCGTTTTTAACATATTGTAACATCATAATCCATAAAAAATGTCTACCGTTGTTACCATCAGTGTCGAAGGAGGATAAAACAGCAAACTCCACTAAATCATTCTCGTCAAACACAGTTGTTACACTCTCAACGCCGTAAGTACCAACAAGTTAAATAAATGATTACCTATTATGGATCAATATTGCATTTTTCTAATTAACATATTATTTAATTGTCTAACTAGTGATGACACGTACAAGGCGAGGATGAATCAATTTGATAGGTTTAATGACGGAAACGTTTTGGACGAGGGTAAATTTAATTTAATATATAATTACACATATATATTATAATATTATATTTGTATGTCATATTTTTTGTAGATAGTTTTAACTCGGTGTTTCCAGAAATTATTAGTCAACACATTGCAAAGCAATGTATGGGCATGAAAGCGATTATAGATCCATTTTGTGGAGCAGGTAGAAATGTTCTTCAACTTGCTAGAGTTTGCGATTCAGGTACTATAAAATATATCATTATTTTTTAAGTGTAGATTTCTTAACTAAGAAATCGAATATAGAATATTATGCTTTTTCCTGAAAAAGTAATAATTTAATACTAATTATTAAAATCTTTGTACAATTTAGTTATAGCAATCGATATCGACCCGGCGAAAATTCAATTAGCAAAGAATAACGCGAAAGTTTATAATGTCTATCATAAAATAACGTTCATTGTCGACGACTTTTTTAAAATTGCTCACCGACTAAAACCCGTAGATTGCATTGTAACATCACCGCCTTGGGGTGGTTATAATTACGAAAATAGCCAATCAATTAGTGCAACCAATATTTTAATCGAAAAAATTTTGGAATTAGGAATAAAGGTGGCACCAAAGATTTTATTACACGTGCCGAAAGACCTAAACACAAACGAAGTATAATATACATTATAATAAACTGTCCTCGATATAAAATAATGACTTTAATTTATTTCTATAGTGCATCTTGATTGGAAAACGGCATAGAGTAAGGACTTTCAAAGAAGAAATTATTACAGTTAACTGCGATCAGAATTCCAAATTATTGTATTTCAATAAATTGAAAGTAAGTAGTCGTAACTAGTGTATCATAATATGATAATTGAAGACGAAAAAATAATTTATATTTTAATAAAAAATAAAAACTATTTTTACATAACATTATCAGAAAAAATTAATCATTTTATACCTGTTTACATTTGTTAGAGCGAAGGAAATGATCATACAAATTATACAATGGTAAATTTCGATCGATGTAAGTTGAAATAAGCGCTCACCATAAATTTATTATACGATTTACAAATATTACAATAATTTCGTTTTCAACAGATTGCAATATTAAAATAAATGACGACTGTCGGTCAGTTATCACAAAAAAACCGATAAATGTGGTGGCTGAAGACAAAGTCGTAAATCCGAATAAAACAGCAAACTCCACCAAATCATTCTCGTCAAACACAGTTGTTCCACTCTCAACGATGTAAGTACCTATAAGTTAAATAAGTGATTGTTATCGAGCAGAATTGCATCTTTCTAATTAATGTATTATCTTATTGTCTAACTAGTGATGACACGTACAAATATTGGAAAATAAGAAGGACTCTATTTGAAAAGTTTAACGACGGAATACTTTTGGACGAGGGTAAATTAAAATTAATATATATTATTACAATCACGTATTTTTGATATGTACATGTTTATTTTATTTGTATATGTAATATTTTTTGTAGAAAGTTTTTATTCGGTGTGTCCAAAAGTTATTTGTAAACATATCGCAGACCAATGCATAGGAATGAAAGTGGTTTTAGACCCATTTTGTGGAGCAGGTGGAAACATTATTCAACTTGCCAGGGTTTGCGATTCGGGTATTTTAAAAATATATCATTATTTTCTCAGAGTAAATTTCATTGTGTTCTTTCTTTTCGAAATAGAATTCCTAAACAAGTAATAATTTAATACTAATTATTAAAATCTTTGTACAATTTAGTTATAGCAATCGATATCGACCCGGCGAAAATTCAATTAGCAAAGAACAACGCGAAAGTTTATAATGTCTATCATAAAATAACGTTCATTGTGGGCGATTTTTTTAAAATTGCTCACCGACTACGA